GAAAGCACTTAGTGCACACACTTACAACTATTCAAAGTGCAGAAAATAAATGATTATATAATAATCTACTCTACATGGGATATCTATTATAACCTTTCCCATGGCTCAGGGAATATCACTGCAGAGGAGGCACAAAGAGTACAAGTGCCAAAGTTTTAGGGAGAATGCTGAGAAACAGAATCTTCTGCATAGTAAATGGCCACTACATTCACAGATTCACTACAGTTGTGGTTACCTGAAGACTTGCATCATCAAGAAACCTGAGGTGTCACAAAAGGAGTATGGACTGGGGTTGTAGGTAATCAGTTTGTTCAGTTTTGCTGTTACTTGGTAAATTGTCCTTGCTCTAGCAAATAACCTCTTACCTGTACTTGAGCAAGAAAATAAAATTAAATTCAGTGAACCATACATATTTAAACCCACCAGAGGAAGATTTTTTTGGGAAGAAGTATATTGATGGGGACAGGAGAGGCATGAGAAAGGGTAATGGGGAAGAAAATAGCCAGAAGCCAGTGCATATGTGTATTCAATTTTCTAAAAATAAAAAGAAACACTTGATTTTTCAAATAAGTAGGAGGAGAATGGAAGAAAAAAGGTAGGGAGGAGATGAAGGAGGAAAGAGAAGTGAAAAATAAAGCTATATAACAAGCACTCAAATCAATTTTGAAGAAAAAAATTTGGAGGGATCATAGTACCAAGCTTTAAAATACACACAGCTTACAGATGGGATAAAACTCTTTGCCAGCTACTTCAGCTAAATAGAAAATATATAAATAACTTCAAAAATCAAAACTACCAATTAATAGATAAGCCAATGAACTGAAGAGACAGTTTGCAAAAGAAGATATACAAATGGCCAATAAATATTCTGTAAAGTGTTCTATATCTTTATCTATTAGAGAAAGGCAAATTAGAACTATTTTGAGATTCCATCTTACCATAGTTGAAGTGGGTCTCATCAATAAAGCAAATGACAAAAATGCTGCTGGGGAAAGAGAAAACTTCACACTGTTTATAAATTACTGTTTGTAATATACATTGTATAGCCACTATGGAAACTAATGTAGAAGTTTCTCAAAATATTAAAAACATACTTAGAATATGATTCAGTATTCCTGGGCAAATACGTATCTACATTATTGTCATTCTATTCACAACAGCAAGGAAATAAAATCAACCTAGATGTCTATCAATACATGAATGGAAAAAAGAAAACATGGCATATACACAATGATATTTTACTCAGCCATAAAAAATAAAATATGCAGAAAAATAAATAGAACTGGAAAATATTATGAGATGAGGTAATTCAGTTTTTAAAAGGAGAATATAACAGTTTCCACTATGAGTGATTCTGGCTTCTTTTATGTATTGGAGGGAGTACAGGTAAAAATACTGCAAGAGCTTATGAAAGTAAAAAGAGTTAGGAGAATCATTTTCTTTTCTCAGGAACTAGGAAAATAAATCTTGTCTGTAGTTAAAGTTGGACTGGTTAAATAGTAATGCTATAATGTTGAAAGATGAAGAGAAGCAATAGGAAAAAAAATAACTGTGTATTAACTTGAGAGTTAATAAAGAAATCTTTAAATTTATGTTTAGTATGCCTATAGCTGTAGTTGGTATACCTTAAGTAGTTTAAGTGAAATAATGTGTATTGTTAAGAAACTTGAAGTTTCTGTGATTGTTACCCTAGATGATTTAAAACAACACATTATTCCCTATTTCTCACATTTAGTACTTAAAAGTAGATGATGATCGGTTAATGAATGCGCCAGAGAGGAAGTCTCTGGTTAATTGCAGAGTGAATTCCGTATTGAAATGGAAGGTTTTGCTCTAATTGTGATGAATTGAGGAGAGAGACTAGTAATAACAATTGTAAACATCAAGTCAGTTGTCCAGAAAAGTTTTATGTTCAAAAAAAATCTGATAGTAATTTAAAGATATTTTATGACAATAGTACATCATTAACACTATAAAATAATAAGTGTTCATTATGAAAAATTTAGGAAAAATAAAAGCATAAACAACTTCTAAAAGTGTCTAAAATGGAAGGATTCTTAATAGTGGTATTACATAAAAATGATATCACACTATGTAAACAAATAAATTTTTGGTCTCATTCATCCGTATGTTTCTATAACTGAAAATTTCAACAAGATCTTTTCAGAAAAGATTTTTGTGTCTTTGAGACCTGTAAGTAGTTCAAAGGAGAAATAAAGCCATATTTACATATGTTTGAATATTTGGTCACTAGTTGGTAAAAAAAACTGTTTGGGAAGGATTAGATGTGACCTATTTGGAGAAGGTGTGTTGCTGGAGGTAGGATTTGAGGTTTCAAAAACCCACACTTCCCAGTTAGCTTTCTTCTTTAATTTTTATTTTATTTTTATTAATTAATGTTCATTCATTTTGTATCCCAGCTGTAGCCCCCTCCACCATCCCCTCCCAACCCCACCCTCTCTCTTATGCTCCTTCCCCAGTACAATGATAGGGAGGTCCTCCTCCCCTTCCTTCTCATCCTAGTCTATCAGGTCTCATCAGGACTGGGGTCTTTGTCTTCCTCTGTGGACTGGTAAGGCTGCCTCCCTCTCAGGTGGAGGTGATCAAAGAGCTAGCTCATGAGTTAATGTCAGAGATGGTTCCTGTGCCTATTATTGGATACTGAGCTGTCATGGGTCACTACTGTGCAGGGGTTCTAACTTTATCACCATGCATGGTCCTTGTTTGGAGTATCAGTCTCAGAAAAGAGCCCTGTGCCCAGATTTTTTGGTTCTGTTGGTCTCCTTGGGGAACTCATGTTCCCTCCAGGTCTTTCTATATCCCCTTTCTTTCATAGGATTCCCTGCACTCTGCAAAAAGTTTGGCTATAAATCTCAGCATATGTTTTGATACCCTGCTGGGTAGAGTCTTTCAGAGGCCATCTGTGCTAGGCTTATGTCCTGTTCCCTGTTTTCTCCCTCTTTCCATGTCCATCTTGTTTGCCTTTCTGAATTAAGACAGCATCTTACCAAGGTCTTCCGTCTTGATTAGCTTCCTTAGGTATACAGATTTTAGTATGATTATCCTACATGATGTAGCCTATATCCACTTATAAGTGAGTATAAACCATGTGTGTCTTTCTGCTTCTGGGATACCTTACTCAGGATGATCATTTCTAGATCCCACCATTTGCCTAAAAGTTTCATGATTTCTTTGTTTTTAATTGCTGAGTAGTATCCCATTGTGTAAATGTACCACAATTTCTGTATCTATTCCTCAACTGAAGGACAATTGGATTGTTTCCAGCTTCCGGCTATTACCAAAAAAAAAGTTGCTATGGGTTGAGCAAATGTCCTTGTTGTGTACTTGAGTATCTTTGGATATACGCCTAGGACTGGTATATAGCTGGATCTTGAGGAAATGCTCTTCCTAATAGTGGCGCTTTTCTGAGCACCAGATTGATTTCCAAAATGGTTGTACAAGTTTACATTCCCACTTTGTACTCATTGGCACAGAAAACAACTTCCTGAAGAGAACACCAACAACACAGGCTCTAAGATCAACAATCAATAAATTGGACCTCAGGAAATGAAAAGCTTCTATAAAGCAAAGGACACTGTCATCAAAACAAAAGGAAAGCCTACAGAGTGGGAAAGGATCCTCACCAACCCTATATCTGACAGAGGGCTAATATCCAGAATATATAAAGAACTTAAATTAAACAGCAACAAATCAAGGAATCCAATTAAAAAATGGGGTCCAGAGCTAAACAGAGAATTCTCAATAGAGGAACGTCGAATGGAAGAGAAACACTTAAAGAAATGCTCAACCTTCTTAGTCATCAGGGAAATGCAAATCAAAACGACCCTGAGATTTCACCTTTCAACATAAGAATGGCTAAGACCAAAAACTCAAGTGACAACACATGCTGGAGAGGATGTGGAGAAAGGGGAACCCAGTTAAGCTTTCTTTGTCTTGTGGTTATGTTTCAAGATGTGTGTTCTCAGCTACTGCTCCAGTGCCATGCTTGCTTGCCTGCTGCCATGATTCCCATCATGATGGTCATGGACATTAATCCTGAAATGTAAGCTCAAAATTAAAAGCTCTTTAAAAATAAGTTGCCTTGGTCATACTGTTTTATGACAACAATAGAAAAGTAACTAAGATGATAAACAAGAAAGAAGAACCGGGATAAGATGATCAAACCTCACTTAGAAAGAAAAATGGGATGGGCATTGGATGTAGGAGAAAACAAGTAACAGGACAGGAGCCTACCACAGAGGGCCTCTGAAAGTCTCTGTCTAGCATTGTATCAAAGCAGATACTAAGGCTCATAACCAAACCTTTGGCAGAGTGCAGGGAATCATATAAAATAAGGGGGAGTTAGTATGACGTGGAGAGGATAGGAGCTCCACAAGGACCAAATATATCTGGGCCCAGGGGTCATTTCTGAGACTAATACACCAACCAAGGATCATGTATGGATACAACCTAGAACCTCTGCTCGGATGTAGCCCGTGGTAGCTCAGTAACCAAGTGGGTTTTCCTAGTAAGAGGAACAGGGACTATTTCTGACAGGAACTCAATGGCAGGCTCTTTGACCTCCCCACCCCCCAAGGGAGAAGCAGCCCTGCTAGGCCACAGAGGAGGACTTTGCAGCGAGTCCTGAAGATACCTGATAAAACGGGGTCAGATGAAAGGGGAGGAGGTCCTCCCCTATCAGTGGACTTGGAAAGGGGCAGGGAGGGGATGAGGAAGGGAGGGTGGGATTGGGAGGGAATGAGGGAGAGGGATACAGCTGGGATAAAAAGTTAATAAAATGTAACTAATAATAAAAATAAAAAAGAAAAAAAGAAAAGTAACTAAGACAAAACTTCAGCCAATGAAAAAAGCTAAGCAGAGTTTAAATAATATACTCTAGTAAGAACTTTTACTCAACTTGGATTTATATTTGTACAGTGAAAAGAAAATGGATATTTTGGTGACAAATACTAATATTTGTACAATTAAATCATACTTACACAAGTTAAGTTGTCGTACAAAGCTGGTTATCTTGTTATGTTTGAAGTATTTCGGTAGTACTTCATTGGAAAAAGTTTCTTCCTTCACAATCTGAAAGCTGTGGCCATCCTTGTAATAAAGGAAAACCAAAAACTGGTCATTTACAGAAAAAAGTAGCAAAGTTTCACCTAGTAAATATTCAAAACGATACCTAATGAACCCCAAACTTGTGAAAATTTAAAACACAAAACCCAAAATTCTTCATATTGGAAGTATGTCCATAGCATGTATGAGGTTCTGATTCAAATTATTTATCTTGAGGTAAAATATAACATAAGATACAGAATATGAAAGTAATAAAAAATACATGGTACTGGCATAGAAACAGAATGGTGGATCAATGCAATCCCATAGAAGACCCAGAAATAAACCCACACACCTACAGATATCTGATTTTTGACAAAGAAACGAAAACCATACAATGGAAAAAAAGACAGCATCTTCAAGAAATGGTGCTGGTTTAACTGGATGTCTACATGTAGAAAAATGCAAATAAATCCGTATTTACCACCCTGCACAAAACTAAAGTCCAAGTGTATCAAAGAACTCAACATAATAACAAACACACGAAACCTGTTAGAAGAAAAAGTGGGGAAGAGCCTAGAATTCATTGGCACAGGAGACAACTTCTTGAACAGAACACCAACATCACAGGCTCTAAGATCAGCAAACAATAAATAGGACCTCACGAAACTGAAAAGCTTCTATAAAGCAAAGGATACTGTCATCAGAACAAAAAGCCTACAGAGTGGGAAAGGATCCTCACCAACCCTATATCTGACAGAGGGCTAATGTCTAGAATATACAAAGAATTCAAGAAGTTAAACAACAGCATACCAAGCAGTTCAATTAAAAAATGGGGTCCAGAGCTAAACAGAGGATTCTCAATAGAGGAATATCAAATGGCAGAGAAACACTTAAAAGAAATGTTCAGAGCCCTTAGTTATCAGGGAAATGGAAATGAAAACCACTCTGAGATTTCACCTTACAGCCATCAGAATGGCTAGGATCAAAAACTCAAGTGACAACACATGCTGGAGAGGATGTGGAGAAAGGGAACTCTACTCCATTGCTGGTGGGAATGTAAACTTGGACAATCACTTTGGAAATCTATCTGGAACTTTCTCAGACAATTCGGAATAGTGCTACCACAAGATCCAGCTATACCACTCCTAGGCATGTATCCAAAATATGTTCAAGTGTACAACAAGGACATTTGCTCAACAATGTTCATAGCAGCTTTACTTGTAATAGCCAGAATCTGAAAACAACCCAGATATCACTCAACCAAGGAATGGATACAGAAATAGTGGTACATTTACATCATGGCATACTACTCAGCAGTTAAAAACAAGGAAATCATGAAATCTCCAGGTAAATGGTAGGAACTAAAAAAGATCATCCTGAGTGATGTATTCCAGAAGCAGAAAGACACACATGGTATATACTCACTTATAAGTGGATATAGGTCATATAATATAGGGTAAACATACTGAAATTTGTATACCTAAAGAAGCTAAGCAAGAAGGAGGACAGTTGGTAAGATGATCAATCCTCATTCAGAAAGGCAAACGGGGTGGACATAGGAAGAGGGAGAAAACAGGGAACAGGACAGGAGTCTACTACAGAGGGCCTTTGAAAGGCTCTGCCCAGCAAGGTATCAAAGCAGAGGCTGAGACTCATAGCTAAACTTTGGACAAAGTGCAGGGAATCTTATGAAAGAAGGGGGAGATAGAAAGACCTGGAGGGGACAGGAATTCCATAAGGAGAGCAACAGAACTAAAAAAAAAAGTCTGGGCCAAGGGATCTTTTCTGAGACTGATACTCCAACCAAGGACCATTCATGGAGATAACTTAGAAATGTAGCCCATGGCAGCTCAGTCTCCAAGTGGGTTCTCTAGTAAGGGAAACAGGGGCTGTCTCTGATGTGAACTCAGTGGCTGGCTCTTTGATCACTTCCCCCTGAGTGGGGGAGCAGCCTTATTAGGCGAAAGAGAAAGACAATGCAGCCAGTCTTGATGAGACCTGATAAGCTAGGGTGAGATGGAAGGGGAGGAGGACCTCCCTTATCAGTGGACTTGGGGAGGGTTTTGTGAGGAGATGAGGAAAAGAGGGTAGGATTGGGAGGAGACGAGGGAGGGAGCTACAGCTGAGATACAAAGTGAATAAACTGCAATTTATAAAAATAAATAAATTTTAAAAGATATAGAATATAAGCAAAAGAAATGCCATGAAAGAAAATATAATGGATTGTTCATGAATGCATTTGTCAGGAACTCTCACAAATTAAAAGTAAACAGGTAAAACAAGACTTAGTAAAACATACCTGTAATCCAAGTACTTGGAAAACAAAAGCAGGAAGACAAGGAAAATTTCCACAAACTTGAGCAAAAAAGAGATGTGAAGTAGCAATTCAGAGTTAGTCAATTTTAATGTTTAGTGTTAGTTCTCAACCTGACAAAATCTAGAATCACTTGGGAGATGGACCTGTGAGCATACCTATAAGGGATTATCCTGAGTATGCTAATTGATGTGGGAAGGCCTCTCTTATTTGCAGGTATGACCATTCCTTGTGCCAGGGATCCTGGGCTACACAGGCACAGAGAAGGAGCTGTGAAGCATGCATGTATTCACACCTTGCTCCCTGCTTCTTTATTATGAATGTAATGTGACTAGCTTCCTCAGGTTCCTGCTGCTGTGACTTCCTCCATCATAATGGACTGTGGTCTAGAACTATGCACTGATGTGAACACAAAAAACTAAGACATCAAGTTTTCAAGAAAAGTGTTCAAAATATAAATCACTACAATATTTTATCTATCAAACTGGCAAGACTAAAGAAAATATTAAACTCCAGTATTCACAGATTTGCAAGAGCTCAGATAAACAGGTATTCATACTGTCAGAATTTAAACTGTCTTATTATTACTAATAGTAAGTATTCAAAGTTCCCAATCTTAGAAATTCTAATTCAAAATTGTATAGAGAATAATTACTGATATGTGCTAAAATTTAGCAATGAACAGTTAGAAAAGTACTTGTATATAGAAATCAAAAACTGGAAACTACCATAACACTAATATAGTAACTAAATTTATAAAATGAATATTATACAATGATAAAATTAAGTTATGTAAGGATATTTAGTGAATGGAAATACTCATGATATATTTCAAATGAGAAAGACAAATTTTCAAAAGGAATAAAATGCATCATTTCATAAATGAGAAATATGAGATATTGACATAAATCAGTTATAAAGCACCTAGTTTCCATCCATACCATACCTGCTCCCCACAAAAAAAATTCACATATACAAAACAGTAGTTATCAGTGGATTGCACTGTAAGTACTTCACTTACGTTTATAAAAGTAGACTGTAACAAAAATTATTTTAAAGTAAGCAAAAGTGATAATATTCTTATATGCTGTTCATTCACTTAAATTATAAATTTAAACGTTATATCCCCTTCTTTCATTACAATCCATGCATTCTGCCCAAAGTTTGGCTATGAGTCTCAGCCTCTGCTTCGATAACTCAATCAGTGGAGTCTTTCAGAGGCCGTCTATGGTAGGCTCCTGTTCTGTTCCCTGTCTTCTTCTGCTTCCAATGTCTATTGCCTTTGTCATTCTGAATGAGGATACTGAGAATCTTCCATAGGGTCTTTCTTACTGTTTAGCTTTTTGAGGAGTAACTGGGTCCTGGGGGCCCTGCAGAGACTGATACTCCAACAAGGAACATGCATTGAGAAGACCGAAAACCCCTGCTCAGATGTAGCCCATAGACTCAGTCTCCAAGTGGATTCCCTAGTAAGGGGAACAGGGGCTGTCTCTGACATTAATTCAGTGGCTGGCTCTTTGATCACTTCCCCCTGAGTGGGGGCAACTTTACCAGGCCAAAGAGGACAACAATTCAGCTGGTCCTGATGGGACCTGATAGGCTAGGATGAAATGGAAGCGAAGGAGGACCTCCCCTATCAGTGTACTTGGAGTGGAGCATGGGAGGAGAAAAAGGAGGAAGGGTGGGATTTGGGAAGTTACGAGGGAGGGTGTCTACAGCTGGGATACATAGTGAATAAATTATTATAAATTTAAAAATAAATTTTAAAAGAACAAATTATAATGACATATGTATGAAATATTATAGTTTTCATATTATAAAATATACTTTGATAGCTTAAAAATCATTCAGATAGAAAACACAGGGAGTGTTTTCACACATGTAATCTAGCACATGGGCAGCAGCAGAAGGAGGATCACAAGTTTAAGAACAATAACCCTATACTATAAGATCCTACTGAGAAAAATAGGGATATTTGGAGATTAGCTTAGTGGCATAGGTTTGTCCAGCAGCACAAAGCCCTAAGTTTGATCTGTAGCACTGGAAGAATTAGGAAGCAATTATTTACTTTGTGTAATCAGAAATATATAAGGTAACAACTGCAAAAGAGCAAACCATCCATACTAATTTCTTACCTACAGAAAATGAGAAAATAGAATCTAATCACAAGATTGTTAATACAGAGCACCATATTGAATATCCTCAAAACAACAGATGCATACACACACACACACACACACACACACACGCACACATACACACACATGCTTGCACACATGCACAGGTGTGAGAAAACACACACAGAGAGAATCGATGGCACTCTGGTTTTCTAAAAATGATCAAAGTGAAAGTTGGTAAAAAAAAAAAATCTACTGATTGTTAAGTCTGATAGTACTAAAAATCTTTAGACCCAATAAAACTGTCACCTTGCCTAGTAATTTAAAAACTAGCTAAGATTAATCACCTATAAATGATGGATAGAGATGAACTTATGTTTTCAGATAAGAAAAAATAAACTGGGAGGACAACAGCTAATTTCACGGAACACACATTAAAGACAACGGGACTTTGATTTTTGTTGGCTAGAGACACTGCTTTGCCTTATTGGAGAAACATTTTATGATGTTTCTGAGCTATAACAGTGCTAGAACTAAAGGTGATAAGGTAGCAATATGGAGTACTAAATGCAAAAAAAAAATGAGCTGCACACACATGTACATGTTTGTGAGTATGTATGAATATCTATGTATGAACAAAACCTACCATAGTGTTGTCTTATCATCACACTGTAAACTATGAACATATGTGTGTGTGTGTGTGTTTCTTTTCTGTGGCTGTGATAAAACATCATGACCAAGGCAAATTACAGAAGGAAAAATTTATCGGAGCTTGTAGGTACACAGAGTTTTGACCATGAGGGCAGGGAGGCATGGAAGCTGGAGTAGAAAGCAAGGAGATTACATCCTCAACCGCAAGCATTATGATTCAGAGAGAATGAAAGAGAGCTGGAAGTGGATAATACTTTGAAACCTCAAAGCCTGTCCCTAATGACATACTTCCTCCAGGAATGCTGAGTCTCTTAAACTGCTGCTAACAGTGACAACCACATGGGAACCAAATGTCCAAATACTCAAAGCTATTGGGGGGGGGGGCATTTCTCATTCAAGCAACCACACATGGAGAGTTTACAGGTAATTGCTTATCAGTCTCATCACAGCACAGTTAATAAGAATTGCTCCACTACTAAAATAGGTTTATTGTTGGAAAACATACCCTCTGAATATTCTCATAGGACACTATGCAAGCAATTGAGATTTGGAGCTGACTCAAATTGTTATTGAAACAGGGATGGGAGCTGCATTGAAATATGATTCCACACTGGGGAAAATGACTGTGAATGGACAGAAATTTATATTGCAGGAATGATTAAAATGTTCTAAAATTGTGGTGATGATTGTACTACTTGGTGAACATATTTTAAAAACTTTGAATTTCATTCTTTGAGTGAATTCAACAAGATGTGAATGTCTTAGTAAAACAGTTTCTTAAAAAATGGAATCTATTTCCCAGCAATTGGAGAGGCAGAGGCTAGTGCACCTCTGTGAGTTCAAGGCCAGCCTGGTCTACAAAGTGAGTCTAAGACAGCCAAAGCTACACAGAAAGACCCTGTCTCAAAATTCAGAAACCAAAACTAAACCAAATCAAAACAATAAGATTCCATTTCAATGTTGCTAGGATATAAAAGTCTTATTTTCCTTTGTTTTGTACATCTATATTTATTACTAAAAAATTACAATATCTGGGGCTAGAAGTTGACTCAGCAGTTAATAGCAGTTACTGTTCTTTCAGAGGACCCAAGTTTGTTTCTCAGCACCCACACATATCTGGCAGTTCATGACCACATGTAACTCCTATTTCAGGGGATCAAAATCTTTTTCTGGTCTCAATGGGCACTCATGTTCACATGGTATACAGAGAGAGAGAGAGAGAGAGAGAGACCACAAACATACAAATAAAAAAATAAAATATGAGGTCTGAAAGATGGACCAGAGGTTAAGAGCACTGGCTGTTCTTCCAAAGGTCCTGAGTTCAAGTCTCAGCAACCACCTGGTGGCTCATAACCATCTATAGTGAGATTTGGTGCCCTCTCCTGGCCTGAAGATGAACATGCATGCAGAATACTGTATAAATAATAAATAAATCTTAAAAAAATACAACAGATAAAAAAAATCAGTGCTATAGTGCTCACTCTCCTTATTGAATAATTACAGTATAAATCATCTTCAAAATCCATAGATGCTTTCCTTGTCCACTGTGTAAATGGCCTAGTAAGATCACCATCACAAAGAAATTTTTTGTGTATTTGTTTTTTAAATTATTTTTTATTTTTTACATTAGTTACTTTTATTCGCTTTGTATCCCAGCTGTAGCCTTCTCACTTATTCCCTCCCAATCCTACCCTCCCTCCCTCATCTCCTCCCATGCCCCTCTCCAAGTCCTCCCCTTCCATCTGACTCTAGCTTATCAGGTCTCATCAGGACTGGCTGCACTGTCCTCCTCTATGTTCTGGCAAGGCTGCTCCTCCCTTGGGGGCGGGGAGTGTGTGTGTCAAAGAGCCAGAAATTTTTCCAACTTAAATATTCAAAATAGAGCTTTTATTTCTATATATTAATAAGCAAATATTCTGTTTATGCACCATTCTATGTAAGTGTATATTTTATTTATTTAAGGAGCATGACACATGCAGTATCATACATAGAATATTGTACCAGATTTTCTTATTTTTATTGCATTATTTTTGCTCTACTAACCTCTTATAATTACTATATTTTAGCTTCTTTGCTTTTCTATTTGATAATGTTAGTGATTTTGTTTTCTGTTTTTCATTTGTTTTGCTCTTATTTATTCCTTATAAAACATTAGTGAAGATGATATCATTTATGCAGTCAGAATGGTTAAGATTAAGAAAATAACTGACAACAAACAGCGGTTAGATATGGAGAAAGTGGAAGCCTCATTCACTATTGCTCATACTGCAAGCTGGTGTGCCACTCAGGAAATCAATGCAGAGAGGATCACGACAACTGCTTTGAGATAGTGCCTTTTATAAATGACATGGAAACAGCATCCACGAACTTCACATAAATTCATAACTATGAAAATCCTAGGGTAAATCTTAGAAGGATAGAAAGATTAATCTCTAAACTCTCTATGGCAACTTTAATTAATTAATAACATATTATCACTGCTTTGTGGTTTTGGTGATGAGCCCAGAGCCTTTCCCATGACAAATAAGAGATTTACAACTGACCTATATCACAGCACTTATTTATTTAAATATTAAATATTTTCTTGAATATTTACTTTTGATTTTTTGAAACAGGGTTTCTCTGTGTAGCCTTGGCTCTCCTGGACTCGGTTTGTAGACCAGGCTGACCTCGAATTCACCAAGATCCCCATATTTCTGCTTCTCCAAGTTCTGGGATTACAGGCCTGAGACACATCACTCGGCTTTACTTCAATAGTTTTGTTGCAAAAAGAAGTTATAAATTGAAGGTGAAACCCACTATTTTCTTCAAATGAATTACAAGTAAATGCTGTTTATGAAACAAGTGTGGCTATGAGTTGATCCCTATTTGAAGTTAGCCGTCTTTGACATTTTACTAACAAAAAATTTTACCCCAGCTGAATGTGGTAGTACCTTCCTGTATTACTACCACCGAGCATGCTGAGGCAGGATGATCATGAATTCAAGACAAACCTGGGTTACACAATGCAACCCTGTCTCAAAAATAAATGGACACGATGTCAAAGTGGCTGTTACTTTTGAGAACTGGCCACAAGTTGCCTTTAGCAGATTCTACATGATTTTACCCCCAGTCAGAATGATTAGAAGCTAAATATAAATCTAAATCCCAGTGGGGGGGGGGGGAGTGCATTCGTAATTACCTCAGCTTACTCGATGAGAGTCTAACAATGTCCCAGTGATTAAACGAAGTGCGTTACAAATTCTCTCAGAAAATGTGACAACAGCTAGCTCTGAAACACCCAGTTTTGGTACACTCGGCTGGAAAGCTTCCTGTGTGTAGCAACCAGCTTGGGCTACATAGTCAAGCCCCGTCTTTCAAAGAAATAATAAGAGCTTGTTTTGGAGTTCGGTGGTAGAGCACTCAGGTAATGGTTTCACATCCATACCACGTACCGTAGCCAAAAAATCAACAAACCCCTTAATTTGTGCTTTGGTAGGAAAGCAGGAGTGTGCCTCACTCATATTTTTACAGTGAAGCTGTACTATACCGAGTGACTTTTTTACTTGTCTAACACATGCTTATTTTGAATTCCGAAGAGAAAACAAAAGGTAGAAAATGGGCCTAGTTTTGCCAGACAGCGCAGAACTGCTTGAAATAGGCTTAATCATCTTCTTACAGAACTGAGTGTCCACCAACGAGCCGTCGGGGTGGCAAAAATATGCTGTGCCTTTGCCTTTTAACCTATCTGAAAGTTTCCCACACCGTAAAAAGACCCTATCCGAAGCCACATCCTTCTCTTTAAACCCACTCTTGTTTCTTCCAATGCAGTCTTTTACCTTGCTCCAGCGAATCACATGGTCCAAGACAGCATCATCGACTAACATCCACAGTTTGGTGAGAAAGCTAGGAACCACTGTCTTACAGAACTTCTCCATGTTTTCCTGTGTCAGTGCCTCAAGAAAATGTCAGTGCCGTAAGCACTGAGATACGAAAATTCAGGTTAAGCGGCAGTTTTCCGTAACAAAAAGCCGGTTACTGGTCATCCGAGCTTTCCTAGGAGGAACACGTGGTAAGTGCCCAGGGGGCAATTCTCATTGGCTAGTTACAGTAGCGTGATTTCAGACCCTTCTGGCACGTGACTACCGTGGAACTTCCGGTACAGGAACGCTTTTGGTGTGAGGAAAAATGAGCAAAACCAGTAGGGGGCACTACATTTGACATTTTCTCTGTTGCTTTTCTGGCTATATGTGCTCCGTACAGTAGTAGTGTCTGCAAACTCCCTCTTTGTTCCTAACAAAAGTTATCTACTTGCTGCTAATAGAATGCTGGAAATATTACGTAATGTTAATCATGACCTTCGAAGGAGCAGGGACTCCTACTGTATACCGTCATGGCCTGGCAACCAAGTGATGTGGCACTGCGCTGGGTCAGCACTGAACTAACGATGTTGAGTATTGCTTGGTAATGAACTTAATGGTATTACAAGGCAAGGCTTTGCAGTGCATGGTTTTTATCCCATCTCTGGAGAGATGGTGAAATGTTTGTTTGTTTGATTTTGTGTTTGTTTATCAGTCTCCTTGACAACCACAGCTGGCCTGAACTCACTATGTACATCAGGCTATCCAAGAACTCACAGAGATCTACCGGCCTTTGCTTTCATAGTACTGAGATTAAAGAAGTGTGCCACCGCACCAGGCTGGTAAAATTTTTTGGTATACATTTTAGTGAAGTGAGACACTTCTAGAATATTAGAGCATTCCCTTCTTCTACTGATAAGGTTGGAAAGGAGACCAAGAAGAAAGACTTGTGTCTAAAACCGTACATAATTTCTTTTGTTGTTGTTTTGTTATTCCCTTACATTAGAACATAGTTTGGTAAGGGGATGGAGGGAGCACAGTCATAAAGTTATGGTCATAAAGTGCCTTACTTTGCAAACATTGAGATCTGAGTTCAAGCCCTAGCAACCACAAAAAACAAACAAACAAAAAACAAAACACGAAAGTGCTGCCTATGCTCTGAATCGCAGTGCTGAGAAATCACAGACAGGCATATCCCTCGGACCAACTGGCCATTTACCTTAGCCAATTTGGTAAGCCTGAGTGACAGTCCCTGGGTCAATCTAAAAGGTGAATGGCTTCTGATGAATAATAGGAACTCTGATTTCCCTGTGCATACACACACATCCAAACACACACACACACACACACACACACACACACGCGCACACACAATGCATATAATCAGATATACAAGAAAATAATGAATGATTAGAATGCTACTTCTCCCTGGGTTAAACTAATTTAAGAAATTTTATACTTACGAAGATACCATTTATCATAATAACGAATGTTATAAAAATAATAATATGTTTATCAAAATAGCGGTAGTGGCTATCAAAGGTATAGTTTGCATTGATTTTATTTTATGTAAGTAAAATTTTAAAAGCATATTCAAGAAAAATGAATATGAGTTTTAAATATCTACAGAGAAAACTCACATGAAATTAACTTAACGTTCGATTTTAAAATGCGAGATGTAAAACATACCGGAAGTCGGGTGAATGCAGTGGTGCACACCTGTAATCCCAGCACTCGGAGAGGCAGAGGCAAGCAGATTGCTGTGAGTTCAAGGCCATCCTGATCTAAAAAGCAAGTCCAGGACAGTTAAAGCTACACAGAAAAACCCTGTCTTGAAAAAACAAAAACAAGCAAATAAACAAAACAAGCAAATAAACAAAAACCCTGAAGATCGATACTTTGTTTTAAAGTTTTTATTTGTTTGTTTGGTTTGGTTTGGTTTTGGTTTTTCAAAAGAGCGTTTCTCTATCTACATTAGCCTTAAACTCACAGATATCCACCTGCCTCACAAATGCTTGTGCCACCACTCCTGGCTTCTGTTTTAAAGTTAACATTATAGAGAAGTTGGATTAGCTATCTAAGGCCACAGAGCCAGTGGTTTGGGGAAAGATTCATACATACTAGCTACATTTCTAAAAAGAGGTATACACCGTGGTATATAGGAGATGCTATTGCCAGGTAATCCACAGGTTTAGTTTTTAATTTTTAGAAGTTTTCTTTATAAAAATATTATATGTATGTGTACACATTAGCAGGTACACTCATCCATACAGACAGATTTGAAGAATAGTTGTTGATATTGGAACATTTTTCTCAGTTGTTTCTGTACCTCATGATTTTGAAGACAGGGTCTTTTGCTAAACCTAAAGATCATCATTTTGGCTAGATTAGCTGACCAGTGAGCCTCCACGATCCTGTTGTCTCTGCTCCCCCACACTAGGGTTACAGGCATACATTGATGTGCCCAGCTTTTATGCAAATTCTAGAGATCCAAACTCAGGTCCTCATGTCTGAAAAGCAAGCACTTTACCCACTGAATCATCTTACACTAGGATCATAGATTATCATTGTTCTTGTGCACTAACCAAGTAGTTCTAATTATGAAGTTTCTCATTTGGAGAGAAAAAAAAAACATTTTTAGGTCAGCCTATATAAATGTTTTAATATATGCTAAGAATTACAGCTACCATGAACCTGGATGTTAACATGATAGTAATGGTTTTAATGACATTTTTTCAAACCATGTTTCTATTCAGTTCCCCTTTGCCCACTCAGACTTTATGATTCTGGATAAAAATGATTAAATTTATATCCCTGTCATAACTGCATGCAAAATTACTAACAAAGGTGATTTATGAGAAATTTAGGAAAGCACTATGGTTTTACAATCAATCTATGACAGTATATCCACTGGAAATTATGAAAGGTTTAGTCTCCTCAAAAGAACTGGAAGAAAGTGTTAATAATTTGCAGATTAAAAAGTTTCCACCAAAATATGAAGACTATTTTATTATCTTTTCATAATTAAACACAGGAACAAATATGGCATCAAAAATGAATGTTATCCTTCTAAGAGCCACAAGGATCAATATATCCAACTCATAACTATTGCAGTGTATTTTATTATTGTAGCACATTTTATATTATTGCACTATTCTATAATATAATAATATATTACACTTTATAATTATAATTATAATAATAATTATTATTGTTGTTTTAGCACATTTGTCAACTCCAAAACCATGGGCAACTAATTTAGGTGTTACCATTCAGTGTCTCTGTGTGGCCACATTTATTCAAAGGTGATGAGGGGAAATTTTTGGTTCTTAGCAGCTGCATCTTCTTACTTTCTTCTCTCTTCTTACTTTCATCATTTTTTTACTCCTGCCTTTCATCACGATTAGCTTTAATAGGATGCATGCCACCCTGACAGCATAGCATGTGAGCATCACAGATTATTTCCAGGGTTCCAAGATGCTACTCTAGTGTTCTGGTTTAGTTCTATGTCTCAGTATATAGGCAACACCTTTAAATTTGTTTGATTGAGAACAGCTTCTTCATTTCTCTTCAATATAGTTTTGGCAATTTATTGCTTTGCTTCCTATATGCATTTTCTAAATTGACTCAGTGTCTTAGAATTTTAGTCGTGTGTTCTACAAGAATCAAAGACTTTTACAGCCATTTTGTAAAACATACACACACATGCATATACACATACATGTATAGAATGTTACATCTAAAAGGCACCTGGAAATTCACTTGCTATATTTTATGGAGTATATAATTGAGTCATAATAGAGGCCTAGTCCCTATTTTCATTGACTAAATGGTATTTTTTCTTATTTACCTTCATTTTATGTACACTAATGTTCTGCCTGCTTCTCTGTGTGTGATGGTGTCAGATCCCCTTAAACTGGAATTATAGACAGCTGTGAGCTGTCATGAGGGTATTGGGAATCGAACCCGAGTCCTTTGAAAGCAGCCAGTTGTCTTGACCACTGAGCCAACTCTCAATCTCCCAAATGGTATTATTAAAATCTAGTTTTGCATGCTAGAGATGGAATGCAAGTCCTTACAGATGCAAGGCAGGCAAGTATTTTTGTCACTGAGCTATACCAAAACTCCAAGTAGTGGCTATTTCAAAGAGCTGGTAATGTGCCACAATTTAAAAATTAAGTGGTCATTCTTAAATGGAAATTACTAAAATTATTGCATAAAATATAAATTACTAAAATTTACTATAAAATTGCTAAAATTATTAAATAATTTATATAATGAGGTTTACCTTGAAATATGTTTTGCTTTTCTAGTTTTTTAAAAATATTTTGATAATTCTGTGAGTGCATACAATATGTTTTGATTAAGTCCTTTCCATTTCTCCAATCACTTCATGAATTCATGAATACACTCAGTATTGCCACAATTTGTATGAGTGTGAAGCTATCTATTAGAGCATGATTGGCCTCTTAGGCTTGAATTTTCAAAGAAACTTGACTCTGCCTCTCCCAGCAGTCATCCATCACTTCACCAGCTCCTTTCAGCTGGAGGTCCTTTCTCAGTTTGCAATGAAGTATCCTTGATCATATAATGTTTATTCTACTGTGGTCCTTAAACAGTACTTGTTTATTTGAAGTTTCTAGCTTGAAGTGCAGCTAGACTTGCCTCCCTAGTAAACATGAAGCTTTGGATTTGATCATGAGCACTAAAACAAAACAAAACAAAAAGTTGAATTTCCTTACTTATTTCTCAGAGTCTCTTGATTCATTCTTTTCACATGAATTCAAAATTATAAATATCCATTCTTATTCCGTTTGCTTGGATTCTCTTTGTAGTACTAGGGATTTAACCCAGGGCCCAAAGGATGTTAGGTAAGCACTCAACTCCTGAGCTGTAGCCCCAGTCTAATCCTTGCTTCTTTGAGTAAATTAATGTTATTTTTAATAATAAAAGACTGATATTGAAGTAAGAATGCAAACTAGTTATAATTTTCTGCTCAACACCTTCACCATTCTTCTCCCTACTTCCCTCTTCTTTGTTTCTTTTCTTCCATATATTCTCACCATTCAAGAATAAGC